TTACCTTGTTCAAATGAGAATAATCTTCGTAGATATCTTTTCACACCGATATCAAGGTTTAAAATGAAAGCTGCATAAACATTTTTTTCTTTCGAAAATGTAACAGCTTATAATTCTTAGTAAGCTCCTCATCTTAGATTTGTTTACAAGATGAGCTGAAAAAACTTTTAGAAAAGATATTTTGGTCACTTGTGGCTCATGTCAAAAACGTGTTAGCACCTTGCGTCCTTAACTCATTTCGATCGTCACCGAATCATCTTAACCTCAGATAAATTTAAACGCAGTCAACTGGTTAGAATTCGTTACGATAATGTACGTGTCAGATGTGTTTCCAAACTTTCTTTGTATTCCACTCTTATCATGAACTACCGTTTTATATTGGAACAATACGTTAAGCTGCGCCCATAAACTATAAAAGAACTTTGCAATGTAAACAAAAAATGAAAGAAGAAATTAACAATGTTTTCACCTTATCAGAATTCATGAGATAAGAACATTCCCTATTAAGTCGAGATAGACAAGTGAAAGAAAATCGGCTAGATTTTTTTTAAAATAATTTTCATTTCCTTGATTTTCTTGAAGAAAAAATGAGGCATAAGAAAATGCGTCCCAATCACGTATTTCGGTAAAATCTAATTTCCTCAGTTGACGATCAATCAATAAAATATTTTAATAGTCTGTTTTGAAAAGATGAGAACAGACAAAAAAAAACAAAAAAAAACTCATGTTTACTTTTAAGTTTTACGTTTTATTTGGGTAATGTTTCCTTAATTTCTTCTTTTATTCACTACTTTTCTAATCAATTTATATATCATATCTAGCTTTTATCTTTTTTTATTTAGTATTCGTTGTCGTCTATTATTGTCAGTTATTTATATAACTTTTCAATAACAGTTTGCACAGGATGATTTTACAAACCTTCCACCCTTCTATTCGGAGGATCCGATAAATGTGTCGTACTTGGCTTTCATTGATATGGATGTAAATATGTGCATGGCTATTTTGTTTTTGCCCGTGAATATTTACATTATATCTACATAATATGCAAATGAATGGCAATGTCGAAAAAAATCTGTATAACGAGTTTTGTTAAAGTAAAAATATAAGTCGGGGGGGTAGATATCAAAAAGCAACTGTCGCTTATTATTCATCGATAGAAAACAGTGTTAGAAGGCTAAAATTTTATTTTTTTTAAAAATTTATTTTTAAACGCGTATCTCTGTAATCAAGCCAATGATATAGTTTATCTATGCTTTTGTTTTGGTCTTTATCACTTACTAAATCTCTCATATTGTGATAATATATCTACCAACAAAGCTGAAATGTAAGAATCTGCCAAAATTTACATTGGGTGATCTAGCGATCGCAACACTATACACATTCGCTTTAGAAAGATGTTTTTTCTTTTTATTTAAACTATAAATTTTTAATCGAAATTATGTTCTGGCTCATTAGTGAGAGACTAATGCATTACGTTGTTCGTAAAAACTCTTTGTGATCCTATAATATTGAAATACCTAGAGGTTACTCATATGAATTCATCTGTATCTATAATTCTTAAAATGTGTGTTTGTGAGTGATCGGATGTTGTGTATGCGTTTCCATAGTTTTCATCCGATTTCGATGAAATATTTTTTTGTTTGATAGATATTTCTTCAGTGCCGGTTTTGAGTTCTAATTGGCTGGATTTTTTACCTTGAAAGTGAACCATCGAAAAAAAATGACTTTTTACACATAGCGCAATAATCAAAGGCAAAATTTAATGTCCTTTAAAAAAAAAAAATTCAATTTAGAGTTGAAATGTAACGCAAAAGAGTATTAGAATTATAAAAAAAAACAATATGTACATTATTTAAATTATTCGGACTATTGTCCTCATCTTTGTCGCCATATTTATTACAACGATTCGGCCTTTCAGTATCTGTCTATATTTCTGAGATGAGGTATTATGTACACTATTTACATTATTCGGACAATTGTCCTCATCTTTGTCGCCATATTTATTACAACGTTTCGACCCTTCAGTATCTGTCTATATTTCTGATTTAAGGTATTATGTACACTATTTTCATTATTCGGACTATTGTCCTCATCTTTCTCGCCATATTTATTACAACGTTTCGGCCTTCTCCAGGTGGTTGGAATGTCGAACTGATCCCTTTATTTCGCTCACTGGGTAGACTATTCTAGTTCCACGTGCCGTGTTTAATGGATATCAGTTATCAAAGATAAGGACAATAGTTCGAATAAGGTAAACAAGGTACATAATACCCCATCTCAGAAATATAGACAGATACAAAAAAAAACTATATTATAAATAAAAATTGTCGTATATTATTGTGACGGTCCATGAAAGAGGTTCCTTCCTTGCAAGATTGAGAACGTAAAAACGACCCTTTTCAAGACCCCACCACCCCGATTCAATTTACCCCCCCCCCACATTTGTGGAAGTGCCTCAGTTGCAACCAATTGATATTCGGGTGGGTTGATTTTTAACTAAAACTGCTCGAACTGAACGGCAAATATTCCCAGTAATTAAATAACCGGACAAAGGCAGGTTATACTGCTAGTTGTGGCAATAATTACAGTTTTTAAAATGCCATAATTATTTAAGATTTAATGCGAGACAAACCGTAAAAGCTCATCAAATATTTCAAAAGAAAATGATTCTTACAGAAAATCAATGAACAAAAATAGATTATTCTACCCACCATCGCAACGATAACTCAAAAGAAATTAAGAAAGTTTAACATAAAATTTCTTAAGAGAGTTAATACACAATACAGTAATAATAAACTTAAACCTAGAACACTAACAATCAATTAAAGTTACACCACTACTAAGCATTGGTATATCATACTTGATTTTGAAAATATAAAATAAAAAATATTAAATATAAATCTTTATTTGAAATATTTTACATGCAGGCACTTCAAACTTTGTACTTTGAGTCAACATTTAATAGGAACTGAAAAATCATTTAGGTAAAAACATCAGGTACTGAAAATGTGTAATTAAAAATAGGAAAATTTTAGCTAGGTATATTATACTCATGGTTAGTCTTCTGGGGTCAAACGTGAAGGTAGAATTTACAAAGTTGCGCGATTTAATTAACCATTGTGACTAATCAAGTGGAAAATTTTGCTACTTTTCAAATTTATTCGTTCCGTAAATAATAGCCGATTTCAGCATAGACATATTTATTATTGTGTTGGAATGTGTCACGAAAAAATAAATGATTTCGTCTCTTTCTCTCCTGCTGTAGTAGCGACGGACACAGTCTCCACTTCTGAGACTGAAAAAACTGACCTCCTTCTCATTCCAGCCCTTTACATAGAGCTTGTTAACTCACCTATGCAAAACACCAACAAGCCAGCTACCAATCACAGTTCCCGCGCCTGCCCACCTCCACTCACTTTGGGGGTGTCAAGTTGACTGACCAACTCATTACAATTATATTCTAATATGTAATTACACAAAAATATATTAGTCGTTTTTAGTTAACTTATCTTAATTTTATATAAATCTCTTAAAATTTTTCCTTAAAACATTATGTACTCCACTCATCATGAACACGAAAAAAGGATAGATGTTTTTACTTTTTATTGTATGAGTTTAAGCTTCGTTATAATGTCCTAATCTGCTGCTAACCTTAAAAGACAATCTGGTGAAGGAGCAAAATTGGGGTCAGACAGTACGACGGGGTTAACACTCTTGTATATGAAGGTGTTAGACGATGAACCTTTGCCATTGATAATCAATATCTGAAAACAATAGTCGCAAAAACGACAATGTGTCAGAAATGTCTCCCAATAAGGAATCGTTATTTTAAGAATATCTGAACATCTACCGAAAATTAGCAAGGTGAGATACAAGACAAATGGTTTCTATATAGACTTTGACGTCTTTAAGTGTATTAGATGTCGCATCTCTAAAATTGGATTGATCGATTTTGTGTTCAAATAGTAACTTGAGAAAATATATCCTTTCTGAGAATCGTAAACAAACTTGACAATGTCGTTTTCAAAAAAAAAAAAAGTTTTATTTATTAGGAAACTAGACAGTTTATGTAATTTATGTAACCATTTACATTCGCTCTAGTTTGCCTTGCTGTCGTTAGCTGCCAATCTACTTGTCATGACCTGTTTATAAAAAAATAAATTCTTCATTTTTACTTCTTTTACTTTAATTTTAACGAGTGTTATATGTGATTGGTTGATCAGAGTAAAGCCCACAAACCTTATCACCCTCCTTTTTTTTTTCTTTCGTAAAAAGAAGCACAAGGCCAAAATGGGGAATGGAGGGTGAAGAACGGTCTTCTTCTGTCTTAACGTTAAACTTAGCTAGCCACACACAATGACCCAAACATTCAACAATATTCCTTACACCAAAAGAACTCATTCTTACAACATCCACCATAATACCTCATTGTCTCCATGAAAGTCCTAACTAAACCCCATATGTACAATTCATTGTCTGTGGGGAGGGGAATAAATCGTCAATTTTAAATCTAGCCCCAATGAATATTTACAATATGAATACAAATGTTTTTTAAGGTAAGGAAGAGCTCATTCGAACTATCACCATGAAAGTATTTATAGAAAGACGCAGAGGGGACCTTACGGCGATGGAAAAATGACTGAAGCCGAACCGCTAGATCAGGACCAATAATATTGCTGATTTTTTTTTTAATTTACCAAGGAGGTTAAGGTAAATAGTAGGAACACAAGAGAATATGTGGTAGCACTATTCTAAGCAACAATCGTACATGCAATGCATAAGAATTGCAATAGAAATATTTTGGAAACACTTATTTCGTGTTTATCTGAAATTCCACGATGTCGTATTCACTCACGTCATCAAGTCTCGTACGCTGTCAATATGAAGTTCGTTATATTTTTATTCATGTCTCTCAACCATAGCATAACAACGTTAATGTTTAGTTGTTTTTTTTTCTTTTAAGAAATATCTTTCGTGCTTTTACTTTCAAAACTTTACAGTTTAATTCTTCTTCATTCTTATCTTTTTTTTACGCGATGTCTACACGCGAAGTCGTTTGATCACAAAACATTTCGCACGCTATCTCTCCTCTTTCAATTAATAAATATTTCATTCCTGGTCGCGGTACCTATACGCGAGAATACGAAACGACGTTCTTTCTTGGCAACACAGCATGTCGATAATCATTAATTAACAGGCAAATGTAGCAATCATTATTATGACGATTTGCTATTCTCTTGTCTGTCGAAACACGGCATTTGTTCGAATATTTATCAACGGAATGGATTTTTAGTTGCTCATTAATTGTACTTGATTATAGCCTCTGCATACATAAAGACTAGATGGTTGTTTTTCGTCTATTAATAAGAGAGTTGGTTATAATATGAATAAACTGATAGTGAGAATGCGAACGACAGCGGCAATGTTGAAGACGAATTTTGACAATCAGATCAAAAAGGAAAACAACTCATAAGACTATAGCTGTACATAAATAATATAAAATTAATTCAGTCCGAGCAATAATAAAATAGGATTATATCTGAATGCGGAAATTTGGAAATGATCAAACTCTAAATAGAAACCAGAAATTGAAGGATATTCCAAGCATACTATCGTTTCACAGCGCCAATACATATATTAATGCGTCTACGCAAAGTTTTAAAATCCAACAAAGGGTTGAGCGATCGCGTAAAATAAACCCCGGAAAGAATGTATAAATTGTTAGATTTGATCTTCCAAAAACGGGGATATTAAATAGTAAAGAAATTCCGATGTGTATATAAAACTGGCGATATTAATAGATTTATTATCACTATTTTTTTTTCCACCATCAGGAAGCGATTTGTTTTTTTTTTTGGTTTTTTTTTATATCCCAAGCAAGGTGAGTGCCACGAGCACGCAAGGGCCTACAGTGACTGAGAGCAGGAGTAAAGATGGTTGTTTGAGGAAAGAGTACAGAGACGGACGGGGATGAAGATCAAATATCCGAAGATGTCAATTGACATTACATTTGAATATATGAAGACTATAGTTATCAGGGAAGCAAGTAAGAGGAAGGGATTTCCACTTATGGAAAGTGTGAGAAATGAATCTCTTGGAATAGAAGAGACGACTACATTTAACTGTTTAGACATTGAAAAGCTGGGACCGAAATGCCAACCTAGTAGTACGCTTAACTTCAAGAAGTGGGGTACCATTGAAAGTAGCTCGCCAGAGCAGTTGCCATTAAAATATTTGTACAAAAGGGAAGTCATAACACGTCTTTGAGAACGTGCCCGTAGACGAGATTCCAGATCAGGACCTACCATATTTGTATATCCGTTTCTGGATTTTATTGAGGACCTCGAAATAAACAGCGGGTACACGTGACCATATATGGCAACAGTATTCAATGCAAGAACGCATGATTGATTTGTAGATATGAAGGTTGGACTCAGGCGAGAAAAACCTTCTGGTGCACCATGGGGAGCAACTTCTCTTGTGGTAGGTTCATTGTAGTTGTTTCCCCTCAGGTCAGTGGAAAACGTGACACCATGAAGGCTCAAAGAGACGCTGATAGGAGTCAGGGAGGTGTCTCTATGTTGGGTAAATGAGAGCAGTTTCCTTTTGGAAACATTAAAGTTTACAAGCTATTTCCTGCCCTGTCAACCACAGATCATTGTTCATTTTCAAAACCAACGGCCAGGTTAGCATTGTCAGCAATGATTTACTATTGAAACAGGAGTAACTTGTAATGTCTTCGGCGTAGATGCCTACTTGAGAACTGATGACACCAGGAAGATTGTTGAAGATCAGAAACGGTGTACGATAGAGGCTTGGGGAAAACCAGCGTTCGTATGAAAGAAACTGAAGGAGAAGCTGTTTAGGAGGACCTTCATTTCACGGTTTGAGACGAATGATTGTATTAAATAAAACAATCGTCATGTAATACAGTATCCCTGAAGCTTACGAAGAAGGCCAGCATGCCAAACCCTATCAAACGCCTTAGAGATATCTAGAGCCACAGTTCTAGCTTCACCGTTATCACCAAGCGCTTCGTATACAGATTCATCTATGACACGTCAGCGGTAGATCGGATAAAGCGGAAACCATATTGTTTGTCAGAGTAGGTTACGTAGGCTGTAAGGTGTTTAACCATTTCGGCGTTGATTAAAGCCTCAAAGACTTTACCGAAAAGTGGTAAGACACTGATAGGACAATAGTTAGATGGGTCAGGAGGATCACCAGAGCTCTTAAAAACAGTGACTTTCCAATAGGCTGAAAAGCAAGAGACAGTGAGGCAATAGTTGTATAGTTTGAAGAGAACTGGAGCCAGCTCAAGGGCACATTTCTTTAAGACTACGGCTGGTATCCCGTCACCAACATTTGCTTTATGAGTTTAATTTAGAGATGATGTTCAATACCATCGACGGGGTTATGCTCTTCTCCCTCAATAGAGCCTCAGTTCCCGGGGGAAAATCAGGTGTGCGTATGTCCGGATGTGTTGAGTGTTGAAGTGGATGAGAATTTCCGAGCAAAGCATTTAGCTTTATCAGCTGAGGAAATTAGGTCTTCGAATTGATTGAACGGAGGAGGTATTGTAGATTTGCTGTTGTTCAGCACACTCTTGCAGAGCCGCTAATCTTTAGAACCAAACTTGCGAGATGAATGTTTAATTCTAGCAGCATCTCATTACAATCAGAGAGACGTATGTTGCGATCAGACATGTTGCTTCGGTACAGACGTAAGAATTGATTCCTATGGGCTATAGCAGCTGAGAACCAAAGAGATGAGCGCGATTTGACTTTATATTTTATTGCTGCGATGAAATCTTCGTTGTAAGCTTTTACCCAGAAGGAGACCTCAGACGAACATTTTTGAACGGCGTGATTAAAAACCACATTCCAAGGAACGTTGCTAATGAAATAACGGAACAAGTCTGTCTGCGCGTCGATAACAGGAAGATCTGTTAGTCGGTGGTTGTAGTCTGGACGGGGGGTAGAAGATAATAGACACGACGGTACGAGCAGAGTTTCTCCAAGAGAGCAGAGTTTCTCCAAGAGAGCAGAGTTTCTCCAAGAGAGCAGAGTTTCTCCAAGAGAGCAGAGTTTCTCCAAGAGAGCAGAGTTTCTCCAAGAGAGCAGAGTTTCTCCAAGAGAGCAGAGTTTCTCCAAGAGAGCAGAGTTTCTCCAAGAGAGCAGAGTTTCTCCAAGAGAGCAGAGTTTCTCCAAGAGAGCAGAGTTTCTCCAAAGAGCAGAGTTTCTCCAAGAGAGCAGAGTTTCTCCAAGAGAGCAGAGTTTCTCCAAGAGAGCAGAGTTTCTCCAAGAGAGCAGAGTTTCTCCAAGAGAGCAGAGTTTCTCCAAGAGAGCAGAGTTTCTCCAAGAGAGCAGAGTTTCTCCAAGAGAGCAGAGTTTCTCCAAGAGAGCAGAGTTTCTCCAAGAGAGCAGAGTTTCTCCAAGAGAGCAGAGTTTCTCCAAGAGAGCAGAGTTTCTCCAAGAGAGCAGAGTTTCTCCAAGAGAGCAGAGTTTCTCCAAGAGAGCAGAGTTTCTCCAAGAGAGCAGAGTTTCTCCAAGAGAGCAGAGTTTCTCCAAGAGAGCAGAGTTTCTCCAAGAGAGCAGAGTTTCTCCAAGAGAGCAGAGTTTCTCCAAGAGAGCAGAGTTTCTCCAAGAGAGCAGAGTTTCTCCCAAGAGAGCAGAGTTTCTCCAAGAGAGCAGAGTTTCTCCAAGAGAGCAGAGTTTCTCCAAGAGAGCAGAGTTTCTCCAAGAGAGCAGAGTTTCTCCAAGAGAGCAGAGTTTCGTAGCGCGACAAGACTCAGGGATGACGCCAAAACAGTTCGAGAAGATTAGCAATATCGTCATGGTTACTGCGGAAACGTGTAGGAAAGTCAAACACTTGTGATGGATTTAAAAGTTAAGGGTAAATATGCCAGCGATTCACGATCTATTGTCGGCGTTAGTCACCGAACACGAATATGTACGCAAACTGATGGAGAGATATGGTATTGTCTATATTATCGTAAATGCTATCGAGTACACCACAGTCATAAGCGGAATGGGAACGATAGAGAAAGAAGAGTTGACTGAGTGAAGGTGAGATAGAAATATACAAATTGTCTGGTGATTCAAGAGTTCTTTTAATTTGTTGCGTGAAAATATTTGGTTTGTTTCACTTGAATTAAGTTACGGCATATAAACTCATCTTGTATGAAATATTGTCAAAATATATTTATTTAAATTAGATTTCAGACTATAGCTAAAAACTGTAAAATCTGTCAACATGGAACGGCTTTGGAGGTAATAATTAGTTTATTTGATACATTTCAAATTATTGATTTGTTTAATATAATCTTTTCGTTTGGGTGTTTTTTATGTAATAAATAAATCAATTTAGATACAAAAATAAGCAATTTATGTGAATCCATCAATATTGTATGTCTAAAACGCGATAAACAAGTAGTGGCACTTTGTCTGATGATGACATTGAAGCGTGAACTTGACATTATCTATGAGTGTGAAAACTCCAGTTGCTACTAGAACAATTATTTTCCGTATTGTCTTTATACGAGACTATATCTGGATAAGTTTCAGGTTTTGTCAATTTGCCGTTGGTCGCATTAACGTTTTTGTTTGTAGGTTCGTTCGTTCCACAAAGAAACCTCATACAAAACCTCTACTATCCTAATCATTGCAAACAACTATCGCCAAAGTACAATAGCTCCTCAATAATATAACACAGGAAAAAAAAAAATTGGAAGTCCTACTTCATTATTTCTCGCTGTAAAAAGCAAGAAAAGTATCCGAAAATTTCGACTTTAACATCCATCTCGTGTTTCTATTTGGTCAAAAGACCTAATATGCATTACATATTAATAGCTTTATTATCATCATTACTTTTATCCCTCGAATTTCTTTCAATGGTCTACTCTATCCCTCTCTCTCACACTATATATATATATATATATATATATATATATAATATTGGTCACACCACAAACTCGCTTTCACTAGGCTTGACTCTACATTTGAATGATAGCTCTAACATTTTTAGGCATTTAAAACAACATACCTGGCTGCATACAAAATTCCGGAAAATCCTCGTTGAAAACACAACTATACTTAAACATGAAAACAAATAAACAAAACTAAAAATTCTCCAAGCTAAAACAGTTGAAACCTAACCTGAACTACATAAATGGAAATCTCCACAAATAT